TGCAAACGGCTAGGCGTTAAACAACAGGCACGCGGAGCTCATGAAATGTCAGTTCGAACGATTTAGTCGAACTTAAGTCTAAGGTCCGTATTAGTGCACTGAAATGGTTGACTTGTAAAGTTATGGTCTGCTATGATATTATTACTGCTGTTATATAATAGACCTAATCCTCAAATTGTACATTTGTCATGATGTCGCGCGCCGGAGGTTAGCAAGACTAATAAGAATCCTCCTGGTGTTGATAAGCTGGAAGATAAATCAAAAAGAAAGCTGCAGCGACTGATCGAGAAATACATGTAGCAATTTCAAAATGTTTGGTTTAATTATTAAAGCGCGCAAAATGAAAACTTGGTGGAGATTATTTTGGCTAAACAAAGTGATATTATAATAACTAAGAATGATTCCGTGTAGGGATATTTTAATAATTTGTCGTAAGGTGCGTAGTAATAACCGTTGGTTAGTAACTTAACTTATAGGTAGTACAAGTATTGTGTGTTTAAAAATATTAAAAACAATCGGTATTGTAATGTTAATATTGGTATTGTTTTTTATTTAAATTAATAAATCAAATAATGTTTATACCGGTAAGCTGTCCATATGAGTTGATTTCCAATTGAATCTGCATTAGTAGGCTAACTGAAAGAACAAAGGTATTATCATGGAGAGGAGTTCAAACTAGTGTTCCAGTTAGTTTGATACGGTTTATTTAGTTACGGAGAAATTTTCTCAACCCCATTTTTACTTGACCGTTGCTGAATTTAGCAATACTGCTAATGCATATGAATGGTTATCAAAAAATTTTGAATACATGAAAGGTGATAATTATTTGAATTTTGGACAGATAACTAAAAGCAGTTCGTTAAACATGAGTGTATTTGTTCCGATTGGCCATAAACTATTTATTTATACCTACCGGCTGACGGTGCATACAAGTTAATTGCAGTTATGCAGTTAAGCATAAGGTGGAATACGATTTAATTGAGATGTAGTGATTATAAGGTGTTGGAATCATCCAAGCTTATGTGGCATAATTATAGGTGGTGTGATGCTGCAAGATGTCCTCAGCTAAATAAGTCTTAACAATATGATTAACAGTGAGTGATGCTCATGTGATTATCAGGGAGAACATAAGTTGTAAACAAGGGGAGTTCACTCTGAACTCATGTCCATGATAATGACTTGGACCTTAGTCAGTGTTGAGGTAAATTCGACATCGATGTTTTTAGATTGCAGAAGATTTGCTCGACTGCTTATGCCGATCATTTTCATGCATGACTGAGTCGCTAAATCTCCAATTAGACTAACAAGGTTTTGAGATATTTACTGAATGAGCGACTGATAGGAACATGCTGTAATCATCTGTAGTGAACGAAGATAAAAGAAAAACAACACTACTTGATGACAATTATAAGTAAATTTGTTGACCGATTTTCTTAATAGTTTCATAATTTTTACTAATCATATTACGTGATTGTCAAGTTTTAAATGCTTTATGATGATATCCTGAAACCACTATGTTTAACTAGTTGGTGTTTATTGAGAATTAGCGGGTGGAAAAATAGATGTTGTTGATTCAAGTGATTCCAAAGCATCAGAAATTTGTAGCGTTAAAGAATCCGAGCTGCCTAATTATACTATAAATTTCGATTCAAAAATATTCGTCTACATAATGTTGATTTTAGTAATAGGTACTGAAGTTATGATTTTAAATCCTTGTTTGTCCAACAACTACCTGATAGTTTAGTTACTATACTAATGCAGTTGATAGTACCTTAATTTGGAACTTTATTATCTAAGCCATGTTCGTCTTTGTAGGTTAATAATATAGTAGACCAATTCATAAACTCAAATACGTATAGCAATAACGACTATGATGGGTTTATTGAGGAATGCTAAAGATGCTTGAGGTGATTTTTTAAATTTAAAAGACATAAAGATATAATTCAACGCATGTACGGGTCAAGCTAACTTTCAGGTTGGTGATGTATATGACAATTTAAAAATAATGAACATGGCCAGAAAAATAATTTTAAATATAAAACTACTTATGGAACTTCAGTTAGGAATATTACGAATTACAAACCCTCCGTAAGAAGCTGATGTAGTTAACCTAGTGGTATGTATGAATGTGTTGCAAAGGCAACTAAAAGTAAAAATGTCTTTAAACAACACACGTTTTCTTAGTAGTATGTTTTAGTATAAAAGTATTAAATATTTCTACCAAAAAGTCTCGGGAATGGCTCGTATGAAATATATGCAACCAGTGTAACAGAAAAATATCTATGTAAGTTAAGACGTGCCAAAAACACAGTAAATAAAACAGGAAAAGGAAAAAGGGTAAAACTCACCCGAGTTATTTTTGATTAAAAATAATAAAGATCGGAATTATAGGGTAGTTCGAATCTGGATTATATACGAGGTAATGTCGATTAGGTTCTTGGATTAACACAGAATTGGGGACTGAATGTGTATAAGTTCAAAATTAATTGAAGCCGAACACGTCACATTGCCTGAAAAACAGTCTGAGATCTAAGATTTCAGGACATTTATAGTTCAAACTAGGCGTAAATTTCTGGAGTATTATTGTTTTGCAATCAAACTCGAAGACTAGAAATTAGTCAGGCAGTGGTAGGAAGAAAATGTTTTACAGAAAAGTCCATGGTTCAAAACAGATTGAAATGTTAAATGGAGAGACAATATAAAGAATGAGACCCAGATAACTGTTTAATCCTTGCTCACGTGGCTAGTCAACGTATATTTACGTTATTTACAGGTCATATTTGCTCGAGCTTGATGTTTAAACAAGTTTATTTCTCTGAAACATGTAAATGCTACTAAAGCTTGCTAATGAAACATCAAAGCTAATAAGTAATACAGATGACCAGTTTTTAGTATCTATTGAGCGGCCTGCTTGAGCATCTGGGCTACCTGTTCCTGTCATCCAGATATTTCAACAAGTTATCTATTTTTGTTTGTTTTAATATATCAATATGTTTATTAATCGCATGATGTATTCTGCTGCGTTTCTGAAAAGTGTACAACCTTTCGTTGTCAAAGTTACAAAAAACTCAATAAGAGCCAATGTGGTTGCTGGCAATATACAGCGAAAAGAATGAACATTATTCAGATGTTCATTTACTGAACTGCTAACATCTAACTGGCGATCACTCAATATTTATCGCCAGGACCGACCAAGAAGAAAGAAATGGAAACTTGTTGAAATACTTTACGCTGAGAATTCTATATTGTACTAAAAATATAATATTGAATAAAGCTGATGATAATAATAATAAGTTATGAGTACAAATCAATGTAACATTACGACAGTACGTGTGATCATAAATCAGAGGACTATTGGAATAATGGGTTTGTATAAATAAAAATCGATCAAGAAAGTTAAAGTGGAAATAAGGATTGATAAAATTCTACTTAAATAGGTTGTGTTTCTTTAGTCGGGCTTACCAATGCAGAATTATGGTCTACCATGATATTAATACTGCTGTATTAATAGACCTAATGCTAAAATTGTACATTTATCATGATATGATAGTAGGTGGAAGACGCATTATTATCTACACTACCTCATCGCGTCGTAACAATCATCAATATATGATGAGGAACACACTTAGCCTGGAGATTAATTAAATTCCTTCTTCCCGCCTTCCCCGTCGTTGGGTTTTTCTCCCAATTGTCTCGTGTTCAGTTTTGAGGATCGTGTGTTTAGGGCCCAATGCCACTACAAATATGTCAGCTTTGTTGTTTCAAGCATTATGAATGAAGTTTACATCTGGCAAAACGTTCCCAAAGATATACTGTTGACCAAAATTAAGGATAAATGCATCATAGAAAATACATACACCATAAGAAGAGGTGACTTAATTGTTAAATTAGACAGCTCGATAGGCCTGGCTCGTTGACGCTGTTAGTGTTAATTTAAACAGACACAACACGTTTAAGGTTTCCGGTCCATGCTCACCGCAAGGTTGCAAGGAAACTTTGACCTCTTCTCCCCTTTTAGAAGATCATTTTATAAATCTCATGTTTCTCCATCTATAAATTAAGTAAAATAAACATTCTTACTTGTCCATCGGTTCGTTTACAGTAAATTTTTATATTGTTTATTGATTATACCTGCTCCTTTATATTTTGCCGTTAGGATAACCATGTTAAAGCACTCTGCCGGCAGTGCTGATTGAACACCATCGTGACAATGTCACATGATAATCCACGTAAACAGTTCGTGTTTATCGAAAGTCGTTGACTAAGCTAACTCATGTTCGTCTGCCTCTAACGTTTCAAACAAACGTTTTATCTCAACTCTTATAGTTTGCTCTTGTCCTTGTGTTTCGAGAAATATGATTGAAAAATGTTACACTATTTCGTAGTATGAGGAGCTTCTTTAAGTGTGTTAATGCTTTGGCCTCAGCTCCAAACCTCAATGAGCCGAAACGGCAGATTGGATGTCACTTAGGACTATTTAAGGTCTCAGAAATGGTCATTAACTTTGAAGTATTATAAATCCATAACACTGATAAACAGAAATAAACTATAAATTAATTGTTAATACTGGTTATTGATGTAAAGAGTGTGTCCTCTTTGAGATATTAGTTCAAAGGTAGATTTCAAACCCTGTTTTATAGGGGCCAGACGTTTTTAGCACCACTCCTCACCAAAACTTCACTATCATCCTCAAAGTCATGTAATGGTTTCTGCTATGTAATAATGTCGACCGGTTTCAAATAGCAAGTGCTTGCGGTTTCATTAGTTCAGGCTTGTATTAAGACCAAAATCATTTATTGGAAGCTCATTTCAACAGTGAATAAACATATTTATTGCGTTCATTGCAAATTTTGCGGAGGTAGAATAAACCAGTAACAGTCGAATAATAAACCAATTTTACAGTTCGAAATAAGACGTAAACACCAGATAACAAGGTAGCTTTTGAGGCATGGGCGATTTAGTTTTCGTTGCTTTTGTACTTCTAACTGCCTATACTTGTCAAGGCGATTTAGCGCGCAATTTTCAATTCGGGAGCTTATTTGAAATATGCGGAGATAAGTTTCGGTACGTTGCACTTAATTAGTTTGATATACTGAGTCTTTGTTTTTCTTACAAATACAAGACACTAGGTTTACCATCTATTATTGAAACATGTCCATCTTGCTTAATTGCGTTTTCATTATAGATTATGTGTTAAGTCATTATTTAGACAAAATGTAAACCAGTGGTTTAATAAAAATCGGTCGAATTGTCGTACATTTAAGATTCGCAACCGCATAGTGGTGTTTATCTTTATGTAGCCCCGATAGTGACACAGAGCTCGTGCTTAAGGTCAACTGCATCCTGTGTCCTAGATCGCGCAAGAAGCTGCATCAATTATGTGCATCACATTTCGCATCATTCGTTTTAAGAATCGCACATTTTTTCTGGTTCAGAAATAAGTTGTGGAATAAAGCAGTATTTATAGGTGAACTTTTTAACTATTATTCGTGTATGAAGAGTTCAGCAGATTCATGTCGATATTTCTATATGTAAGAAGTCTGTTACATCTCTGATTATCCTGAGTAACTTTGCTGTCATTTTCAGTTTCTTTTATCAATGTCGGTCTTCAGTGATATATATTCCCGACTTCAGTTTTGCCGTTTCAGTAACGAGTAATTATTCCTTATGTCTCGAGACATAAGTTACCTTTTATCTGAAGGCTCGTTTGTTTTAAATAACTACAAACCTGTGGAGTTCTGAACTGATCAGTTCAGAACTCCACAGGTTTGTAGTTATTTAAAACAAACGAGCCTTCAGATAAAAGGTATCTCATTCTCATGAAATAAATATGATGTCCTCAACGTCGAAAAGTTTTGCAGGAACTTAGCAAACAGAGGCTTTTGCTACCCAAAAATTTGTTTGGGGTGGGTATCACTAGTCCATATCCTCTATAGCTTTTATACTACTTTTTAAGCAAAAATAAAGCCTTAATACAGCTCTCAAGTAGTTACACATTCTCAACACTACCATTTTTTAAAGTAAACATCTGTAAATAGCGGTTCCGTATTTCCTCTATATAAAATTACTAGTTATGTAAAACTTGGTGATGAATTATATTTCCTGGTTTCATGTTCTATCAAATTCTCTATCAACATATTAAGTGATTAATAATTTATGACCTAGTTACTTGTGTAGTCTAGCTTGTCCGTAAACTATGGAATAACATATGCGGAAATATTTGAGACATTATAGTGGCTCCAAATACGAAAAAAAATTTATTTTTGACATCTACATCTTTAATCGATAGTTGTGTAAGGTATTTCGATTAAGCAACACGATAATTGCCTATCAAATATGTGGGTGAATTAAATTATTTTTAAAAATCCTAGCTAAAAGAATAAAGATTATTTGACCAAATATTGTATGTAACTGCGAGAAAGTCATCTAACCTTTTTATTAGTGTATAAATACATTTCCCCTGTTTTTTAGCGAGTTAGTTTTCTGCTTGCGTAAATAAGTAGGTAAGTGTAAATACATTTAACTCAGGCCCTAAATAATTTATTCTTATCGGTATATCATACTTTTTCGTAGTGCTCCCGACAGAAATTTTAATTTTGGTTATCGATAAAGTGCACAAAATATGATTGTATAAATAACCTAATCTAACAGAATTAAATAGTCAACTATTTGTCACTTCATATTTCAATAACGTTACTCACTAAACCTAATTCATAGTTGCTTATTTTGCATTGAATAAATAGACTTTGTAATAACATTACTCGATTCTATGTATAAAGGTCGTTCAGGCAAAGTGTGTATTTTCAAGTTCTTATTTTCAATAATACATCAATAACCTAGTGAACTTGAAATGGTGATTGCTTTCAGTTCATGATACTTTACGTCATAGGTTACTGAGTCTAATGTTTTACTAACTGATTGAATAATGTTTCTTCAAGAGCTTCGAACACAACCGTTAGTAATATAGTTTGACACAGTCTATCTGATCCAATTTAATGTTATCATTAAAGTCTTTTGGTTCCAATGAAATATAAATAGTCTATTTTGGATTATGCTCCTATCCTCAAGTAAAATGTTTCGTGTTTTTAGGGATATATTACGTCATCTAATGCTACAGGAACCCATTCTCCATCTTAGTTTGGAAAAAGAAAACCTTAATTCAGCGTTCCTTCCTAGTATATCTCACTCCAAAAAAAGAATTGATAAGTCTAACACCGAAGATATCAGGGGCATTTGTAGATTTCCACAGGAAAAAAAAATGCCGGCTCTTTCTACTACTCCTCGCACTCAGGGTCATTGCAGGTCCGGATCAACTAATACTGATTCTCTATTTGTCCGTCCAAATTCCCAAATATCATCTAAACTGCGAGCAGCTGGCGAGCCCACATTAAAAAAGTCGTCTAGCTACCAAAATATTAAAATTGCCAATAATGGAAAAGGACAGGCAATGCATTTGTCAAATCTCCAGGTTACTCAGCCAGGTAAACGAAAAAATCTTAACAGTAAACAAAAGCACCATAGTAGTGCCGCTAACATTCCCACTGTTTGTTCTAAAAACACTGAGCTAACTTCATCGGAACCTCACTTTCAAACTCACCTTAACAATCATTCTAACGCTCACCGCATATCTGTGAACAGCGACCTACTTTCACGTGTGGAAAGGGAGAAAAAGCAATATGAAGCTCGGATATCGGAATTAACACAAGTCACAGAAACACGCAAGATGGAAATAGAAAAGTTAACATTCGAAGTTCGTCGTGCTAAAGAAGAGGCGTCAAAAGCTATTTTATTGACTGAGGAAACTAAACTTGAAAACATCCAGCTCCGAAATCAGTTGCTAGCTCTCGGAAGTCCATGCAAAAAAGATGGAGATCAAGGTTCCTGCGTAGAATCCCATCAAAACACAAAATTGAATTCCACAACTCCTAGTTCACGTAAGTTATTTGCCTGCACTTCGTCTCCTCCTGAATCACTTGGCACAACAACACGTCTTACTCCAGGTGGAGCCACCACCATATTTACTGGAGGTGTTACAGCTAGTTCATTATCAAGTGAATGGAATGAAATGGCACCAGGGTATGATTTATGTCCTACTGAAGAGCCTACTGTATATGATACTAACTATTCAAGTGATTTGGAAAATATTAGTAGTAGAAATCTGAAAGAAAACCCAGTCGTTAGTATCGCTACTCTCCAAGGACGTTTACTACAAATGGAGGAGGCAAACTATACAACCAACGAAGAACTCCAGGCCACATTGCAAGAACTATGGGATCTACAGCGCAGTGTTGATGAGGCTCATGAAGAGGCCCACAGTCTTGCCTTTGAGCGCGCGATTTTATTGGAAGCTCTCTCAACCCAGACTTCAAAACTTGAACACTGTCGATTTCAAATTGAACAGTTGAAACACTTGTTGCTCACAGATCGTAGTGCCCAAACTCCTGGTTCACGAGAGAATCACTTTTGTGAGTTATATGCTTCCATCGAACAAGAGAAACAAGTTCTACTAGGTCAAAATAATGACTTGGCCCAAAGTTCAGAAAGTCTTGCTCGTGAATGCCGTATTTTGACAGAAAAAGCGTCAGCTTTGCAAGACAGTTATGATGCTTTAGAAACGAAGCATTCTTCTTTGGAAAAAGCATACCAATCTGTTTCTTCAGAATTAACTTCGCTTAAAAGTCAAATTTCTCTAGATTGTTGTAAAAGTTCACTAAATAAACAGGATGATATATCAGATCACTCGAAAAGAGTTAGCATTGCTGTTCAAACTGATTGTGTTTTTCTTATTGATTCACTTGAAAACCCACTCTCTGTATCCATTAATGAAGATAGAAAGAAATTGAATGAAATCACTGTTGAGTTGCATAAAATCAAAGAAAATTATGAAATTCTACTTTGTGAACGTGAGCGTGAACAAACTGAATGGCGGTTATATGAGCGAGATTTGTTAAAAGCTGTTCAAGTCGCTGATGAAATCAAAACGGAATCCGAACTGGAATCTCGCCGTCTAAGCTCAGAGAATGCATCCCTCAAAGAACAAGTAAGTTATGTAAAAGAATAAGAAGTAAAATTATTTCGGTTAATTTCAGCAATTATATTCATATTTGTATATTAAGCTTACAGGCTTACGAAACGAATCCGACTATTGAAACCATAGTGTATTAATTGGGATTGAGGACTATAATTCTGAAATTAATGTACTAATCTTATTCTTCTAAACAAGATCATTTTATTAAATTATCAACTATTGAGTGAAAAAACTTGAGATGTTTTTTCATTATGATGTTTAAATAAAATAGACAAACGATCTAGGATATAGGTATCATTCCTACTATCATGTATACACGCACGCACAAACAAGGCACTCCTAAAACCTCAAGAGAATTCTCAGTTCTTCTAAAGAACCTCTACTACTCCGCGATTAGCCCTAAAAATTTCATCTTGCTGCACGAATGTGGTATGGCAAATTGAATCGTTACGTTTGACTGACTGGCACAATATGAATTAATTCACTCTCAGCTATATTAGCCTAGTGGTAAAATGAAACTAGGAAAAAAAACTGAATGGATGTTTATAGAATTGTTTGAAAACAAATTGACATATGAACGAGAGATATTCTTTTCAATAAATTTTCTTTAGATTCTACAATTATATGTTTAAATTAACAATTTAAAAAGTGGACAGTTTTAGGGCAAAATGCATCGTTTACAGTCATAGCATGTGAATTTAGGACTGTTCGTAAATTAAAGTAAAATTGTTAGTGTTGAAATAATGAACATACATTGTTAACTTGAAAAGTCTCTACGTCGAATGGAATTTGGAGATCAATAATCAGAATGATCATGGTCAATAGAGGGTAAAAGAGAAACAAATCAGATCAAATGTTTGGTATATTGTATAGGGTGTAAAATGTTGTGCATCCAGTAGAAGCTAATGTGAAGGAGTAAGTGCTTGCTCATATTTTCGGAAGATTAGTAATGATATCGAGATAATAATAATAAACACCTAAGATATGTGAATGACAATAGCGATTAGATAGGATTAATTTCAGGTTGTGGAAATGCTAAGTGGGAAAGGTTACACGGGAATCATTCAAATTAGTTCATTCGGTCACTAAAATTACCATAGATTTAATGACCTTAACGTTAGACAAGGTAGGAAAATAAGTTGGGCATGCTTCTTTGGCACATAAACTTCTGTCTTTTATTCCAAATGGCTGTTGTTTTTGCCGTTTGTTGGACTTTAAGTCTTATCAACTTTAGGAAGAACTACTAACCTGATAAATCATTGAAAATGGTTGATTTATGTTGTTACAATAACCACTTTGGACTAAGTAGGTTGATATTGAACCTGTGAAAGATTAATTGAAAAGAATATTCTTTGTTCATGAATCACTGTTTACGGCACTGTTAACTCTGTAACTTGAATAATTCCGGTATCATAATATGATTTGTATTAAGTGTCTTTCTGTTTGATAGATAAAACTATTTTCATAAATTAAAATTTGATACAAAAATGTACCGTAGATTATGAAAGATGTTCAAGAATAATAGTGATAATCATATACTCTTAGTTGTTTTTTTATGTATGCTGTTAATTATTAATGAGTTGATAAGTAATTACTTGTGAGAATATTTTGTTTTATCTATGTTACAAATATTCTCCTTTTAAACTGTCATGTGTGTATTAGGGGGGGGGGCTGTATCCATGACCCAGTATTAAGAAGTGTCAATTAATGACACTTGATAATACTCATGTTGATAAATAAATAAGCGAATACAATGGAAGTTTTACTCTTAAAATTCTCCTTTTTTCTCTTTTCTGTCTTAAAAATAAAAGTAAATTTTCGTTAAGAATGTAATAAAAATACTTATAAGTATGTGTGAATATATGCTGTATGCATCAAATAGTTTGTTAATCATTATTGTTCATTACACTGATTGATTTGCGTAATGCGAGTACCTTTGTTTTTAATTAACGTAATAGATAGAATTATTATTTTATATGTTTGAATAACAATGAAATAATAATAGGTAGGAAAAGCAGCCTTTTATTATGTAACTTCAGCATGGTTTCACTTCAAGGCAGTATACATAAAAGTAGTATGAGTATAAGAGTTTCTGTCGCCATCGGTTGGACAATAACGACTTCCCCTAAATATCCTGGTATGGCAGAAGGTGGGGAGGCCGCTCTTCCGAAATCCATTTATACGACCAAGCGTTTACAGCCTCTGTAAGGGAAGTTATTCTCACTTCCTTCACGCTGCGAGTATGCTTCTTACAGTGATAGGAGGATGAAAAACCAAACCATGTTGAGAATATGGATGATCCATACAGTGAAATAAAAAAATCGCTTCTAAACCAGTAGTGTACATAAGCTCCAGGGTCCTAGAGAAATGATTGGCGTGTGAACCTATTTTTGGTTACTGGTTACTATAGGATGGCAGCTCCTTACATTTCTCCACTTTTTTGTGGATTAGACGTTTGGAGTAATTATTGTGGAGATGGCCTCCTGCTAAAACCACATTCGTCTTGGGCACCTAAACAGTATTCCAGTTCACAAAAATTTGATTTTTTTTCCGCAGTTGTACCGGATTTTATGTGAACTGAATAAATAGTTAAGGCTCCAAGAAGATGTAACCTTTTGCTCATATTGGTCCAGCGCACTGCTGACATACTTATTGAGTTGCGTCATTCAGCTGCTAATTAGATGTACATCCAATCACAGCACGTTGTGTTCGATCAAACGATATTCACGTAGGTCTCTTAACTCTATTGATATTGTATTGGGCTATTAAGGCGGAGGTCAAACATCCAATGTATTTCTTCATAGTATCAACTTTTATTTCCGTAAATATTATTTAATGTGTCAGTAAATTCATAGTAATGACGTTTTGTAGGTATCAATGCAGAGATTGGACTTGAAGGTTTCAAATCGACCATAGGTAGAAAGTTAATAATAAATGTTTTTTTAAATATCCCAACCAGTAGAAAATAGTGTTTTTGATGCTTCGTGACTTAATGGAAGTCACTTCTTCGAAGTAAACAAATAACCGAAATAAAATAATACAAGTTTGAGTAGTATGAAGGAAACCATGCAGAATATTTTCCTTCGTACCATTTAAACTAAAAGCATTTACTTGATTATTAAGAATAAAACAAAATTAAATTGAGATGCTGGAGAAGATTTGTAGCTCAGATGGATGGTTTTGGTGGAGTTTTGTTCTCTGAGCTGGATGGATGAAAGCTCCACGACCAAACCATCCAGCTCAGAGAACAAAACTCCACCAAAAACAAAATTAAATATATTTACTAAGTTGCATTGAGAAAAAATACTATTTTTGTAATATTATGGTTTTCCAAGTTAAAAGCATTCAATCTCTTAGAAGTGTTAAATACAAATACAATTTGTTACTGAGAAATTAAGTGTAAAATCATGTATTAATCAATTGTGATTTTCATCCAGCATAATATTCGTTTTTATTCAATGTAGCTTTCACTTGAGATGATAATTCCCTGAACTAGTAATTACTGCGTCATTTATGGCGTAGGCGAGATATCCGTCTATCAACCAAAGGACGTGTTTACTGCGCAGCAGTTCGTTCCGTCCTAATTTATGGCAGTGAAACACGGCCGGTAAGAGTAGAGGATATTCGTAGGTTACTAGTATTCGATCATAGGTGTCTTCGAAACATTGCTCGTATATCATGGGACATCGAGTAAGGAACACAGTTGTTAGGAAACGGGTACTAGGTAAGGATGGCAAATCAATTGATGAAGTGGTGAAACTTCATCAGTTGAGATGGCTGGGACACGTGTTACGTATGCCCAACGACCGACTGCCTCGACGTGCGATGTTCAGTGGTATAGGAGTAGGTTGGAAGAAAGCTAGGAGCGGCCAGACCAAAACATGGCACAAGTCCATGAAGTTACTGACAAGTTGACTGAGTCATGTTGGTAGGTGTAGACTACGTGGTTGGCGACCGCGAGATGATAGCAACTGATGGTTAGATACCCTGAATGACATGGCTCAAAATCGTTTGCAATGGCGCAGGTACATACACTCATTGTGTTCTTCCAAATTCTAATCTTCTGAATGCTTCATGTCTTTTTTTCCTCTTTCCAAATTTGTTTCACTGGATTATACTCTTTAAATAACATCTCCAGACCCCAATCTTCCCGATTACTGCTTATACTCTTACTACATCTACCACTACGGGATTTGAATCGACATCTGCATCTCTGTGCTAATGTTGTATGGCAACTCGAACTGATGTATGTACGTACGAAGTTCTAGGTTGTTACTGACTGACTGACTGATTCCGAATGGTTGATGACGCTTTTTAATCCATATCAATAAATCTTTCTTTCCGAGTAGTGGGAGTTATAAACGAAAAGTTAGTTAAGTTACCCTGGCATTGAAGCGTAGTTAGGAGTTATTTCTAAGATATCAAGACTCTTCACATTTTGGGATCCTGAAGTATTTGTCACTTGAACATAATCGGTCAACTACTATCCTTACCTTGTAAGAATAGGAAGATGGTAACCAGTTGTCTTTGACCTTACTTATCTTTTATAAACCTCTAAAATGGTTGATAATCCTCGAATAACGTCTTTTATGAAATTACCAGGTGATAATCAGTTACTATCTTATCAACTAGAAGTGCACAGCGTCACTATACATTAGCTGCTTCTAATAATTTCCTCTCGCTCTACCTTCTACATCTATTTTGTTTTATTAATAGAAATTACGGAAATCGTTAACCTTTTTCACAACTATTATATTGATTTTATGCTAATTTTTTTTCAGACTAACCACATGGTGATTCATATAATCCTGTTTACATGGATTATTTTAGTTAGGATAAATCGTTTGTGTGTGTGCTTCTAATACAGAGTGCATGTGTATAAATAACTTTGCCGCGTAAAAGGTCTTATTAAGAAAAAAAGGTGAATATTGTACAATATTTTCGTTGAAAGTTAAACTTACCTTGTATTGCGATAGTAACCAGTAGAGGAAAAGTAAGAAGAAAATATCTAATGTTTTCATCAGATTCTGTGTATATTGAATGACGTTTAATGGGTGCTCTTTTTAATTTAATATATTGGTTTTATTAAGAAACAAGTTTATTTCTATGCAAAATAGAACTAGTAAATTTCTTCCTATGTTTACCTGTTTTATAAATATAGTCGTGACTGTAATGCTAAATAAAAATGGTTTAGGTTTCCGATTGTACACGAATTTCCCCTGTGGTAGATGATTAGGAATATTTAAACTGATTAACTGGAACGGTTGTGTAATGGTTTAAATAATTGACTACATCTGGGTTTTAGGTTCGAAATCCCCGGTCAGTTTACTTTGATTTAGTCAGTCAGTTGGTAGCATTATTCCTCAGATAAAAAATATGGTTGGAAGCATAATACCTTAATGCATACTTGATTAGTCGCTTAACTGAACTAAACTAATCCACCAAACAACTAACTGTTATCGAAGCTTAGTTAAATTGGATACTTTCAGGTTATTTAAGTATTTATTAGAATGATTGTTAACACTTATTAATATGATTCAAAGTGTTATGATACTTTATTACTTCGTTAAATAAAAGACCTTAATTAGTTAGGAAGAGTAAACTGGTTCATTTACTGTCGCATAACTAAATAATTACTTATTTAAAAGCATGAATATTGGTACAAATGGGTCACACAACAAGAAAAACAAAGCTGAGAGAAAATACGGAAGGGAGAGATTCTTTCAATTAAAAAGTTCCTCTCACTTTTATGAAGAATGTAAAACAAGGCTATGACAAAACCACCATTGTCTGTTTTTAACTATGTTTGATGACGTCAAATTTCACTGAGTTCCACTAACTGTAGAACCTCATCCAAGGAGTTGTTATAGATCGAGAGATATCTTTCTCAAAAAAGCTTTCCATCATACCTCACCATCATGACACAAACTGCCTACCTCTCCACTTTATACATCCAATTCCACTTTCAACAAATAATGCACTATGTGAAGACCTCTGGGACGACATTTGCGACCCATGATAAAGCCACTGGAGCTGGTGGCACTGATTAAGTTATCATCAGTGCAACCAAACACGCATTGGTAATATGGTCTTGCCACTGAATCTCAATAATTATTTGGCGACGACGATGATTGAACACAAAGAGTCGCCAAACATCCTCAACTCGGAAAGACCAGCTTTTACAAGTATAGAGCAAATTGCTCTCGCAGATGCGCTGTAAACCCTACCTTTGCCAACCAGATTGATAGTACAACAGCTCCAAAGATAGTCCGAATTGTCATAGACCACTGTGGCTTTCATCATACGTGGATTGATCTAATCTGTTACGCTACCACGAACACTCCAGCTAATACTTAGATACACGAACTTTGAGACTGTTAACGGCTCACAATAAATAGTGGGCGCCCTCACAGTTTCTTGTTGGTGTTGCCACTCAGTCTCTGGTTCATTCAGTAGACATATATCCTCTGCTTGTTTAAATTTCTTCCTCTGGTTTATTTTTGAAATAAAGTTGTAGTCTAGAAAATATGCCATCGTTTATGCTCAATTCGGAAAATAAATAATTTACAAATTGACATTTCCCAATAGTTAAACGAATATACAATGACATAACTATTTCTTCCATAAAATACTTGTTCTTAATAACAACACTAAGGTAATAATTTGCAGCATATTTTACATGTTTTAAACAGATGAACTTTAATACTAAACGCCAAGCAACAAGTTTCGCTCGTTTCACACCAGAGTCATCCTCAGTTCGACTGAACAAAACTAAAATTGCTTGAAAACCTGGGATTCGACTAGTTGGATTGAATGTATATTTAAAAATCCCTAAACTTTTGAAGATGCATTCATTATAGATAATTTCATGCGTTATTCTATCGAAGCTAATTAGCATATAATTAATGACTTTGTTCTTTTCAACGAAATCTTAATGCCGTATTTTTTAAAAATTTATTTACAGGTTGAAAAATTAACTAAAGATTCTACTCGTTTGAATTCTGAAATTACAATATTAAAAGATAAAATCAACTTATCATCATCTAGAAAAATTGGAAACGAACATCTAAACTTTGCTTCTGGTTTTCATCTACCGTCAGATGGAACGGATAAACCAAATCCCAACCCTACCTCAGTCTCATCTACCTCATCTTCATCAAACCAACCAATTCTATCAAATATCATTCAGAATATTTGTCCAAGTAGTTCCGCTTATCTTACAACAAATGCAACAACTAACTCATGTCGTTTAGCAGCCGGCACACTGACAGACAATAGCTACACTGGACGTAATAGTATAATGCATCCTTTTACTGCACATCGTTCCACTGGATTCAATCATACAAACCATTTACATTCTACGTATCCAGGTTCACCTGGAGCACCAGGTCGACCTAGTGCTCTATCAACTGGGCCAACTGTACGCAGTTTAATTCAAAGTATTGAAAATCAGGTATTTGTTGTTTCTATTTATGCTTATTTGTCTATTTATCCACATATATGTATGCGTAGGGATGTGCACTTGCAAATTGTGTTCTTATTACTATGTATGAGCAAAGAACAATTACTTTTTACTTGTTTAGCTTATCAGTTTATTTATATAAATAATATGATTAATTCTCTCGTTGACTTTTACTCGAAGTGTAACCATCTATGAAATGTACTTCCTTGTGTCATATGTGCATACTTAACATTGTTAGTTCATGACCTTTGTTTTTTTTCGTATTCAATTTCATACTTCAAAGTGTTGATGAGATTGTAATACTTTAATTAAATACCGCTTTCTAATGAAACCTCTACGTGTATACTAGAGATTTATCTGACTTTTGCCAACTTCAGTCAGTCAGTAACAACGTAGAACTTCGTACGTACGCACATCAGTTCGAGTTGCCACACCACCTAAGCACAGAGATGCAGTGGTCGATTCAAATCCCGTAGTGCTAGATGTAGTAAAATTATAAGCTGTAATCAGAAAAATTAGGGTTTGAAGATGTTATTCAAGGAGTATAATTCAGTGAAATAAATTTAGAAAGAGGAAAAAGAAGGGGACATGAAGACTTCAAAAACTGCTACCTTGACGCGGTGGTCGGGCTTGCCTATCGTGATGACCCAACCGAGCTATATTGGCTAAAACATATGTTCCTGTAGCGATGCTGCCTTCCCACAAGGAGGGGTGGGGTTAGAAAAGGTCGACCCTAAAAATGTCACACCTCACCTTACCTTACAGATTTCCGTCTCCGGCTGTAAGGCCCTTTGAAAAACGGAGCTAGCAGATTAAAAACCTTCCACGAAAAGGCCGTGCGCGACCGGCCTCAAGCAGTTGTCCCTTGGGCCCTGCGGTCACGCTCCCAGGTCGTTAAGACCAACACTAATCCAATTTCCTTTTCAGGTTCCTCAAGAAATACTCTTCTACGGTGTGGGCAGCCGGGAAGTGATATCAGCCCCCATACCCGTAACAGCACACGAGACCAAGTTGGTCACATTCAAATCCTTCCTACACCTAATACCTCTCTTATCTCCATGACTAACCCTCCTCACGTCTCTTTTGCCAACTTACATCTCCCGTGCTCCAAGAGTAATATGAAAACTAAGTAAATTAATAAATACTCCATTTTATCATTACTTTGCTGGTGTGAAGCATTATATTTGAAGGCAAGAGAAATGTGTAATTCGCTAGTACGAGTTTAAATAAATTGTATTTGTCTTAAAACTGTTACTTTCGTACGATTGAATCATATAATAAATAGTACTGTTGTCAAAGGTAGGCTATTAGATACATCTTGTAAATTACCTTACATTTTGCTCATTATTCTACTGTGATAGTTTTGACATCCGGTATACATCGCCAACCGCTATCTATGTGTCTATGCCATATTAACTAACATAAAGTTGATCCGATTGTTAAAGGTTATTATGAGCCATACTAATATAAGATATCATCCTTGGAAGATGGTAACCGTGAAGAGATGCATGATTACTGATTAATTCCTCTAAGTCATAATCATTTGATTTTTATAGACCATTCTGTTACGTACTTGCACGAATTCCATTCTATTGGACTGGCTGATTACAAAAGTTTAGCTAGTATTTATTGACGTTTAGTTTCTTTACTTAATATAAAACACTTATTTTTACTTCTCTTTTAATTTAGGTCAAAGCGGTCCAACATCAAAAACGCAGTACAACATCTGCATCAGTCGGTAATTCACGTCCAGTTCGTTTATACACTAATACTAATAACAATGACAATAGTAATAACGGAAAAAATAATCGACAAAATATTTCATCATGTCTTAGTTTAATGTCACCAACTGGGTATCCGGGAAAGTCGACTACACCTATTAGTAATAATAATGGTAATGGAAACAATGATACTGGTAATTCCACTTCAACTCATCAACTGAATTCAAGGACAACTATCACTAATCCTGTCATTTCATCAGAAATTAATTACAAAGTGAAGAACCAGGAGAACAGAGATATGAACAGCCTGATTCATACATCAGCACCTGGTGGACCGAGTTCCACTATAATAAGTAATCAAAATGTAACAAAGAAGTTTCCATCAGATAACATCACTACTACTAGTATTAATAATAATCAACGTAATGTTAAAACACCACTTGGTACATCAACTATCATGAATTCAACTGGAACATCAGTGTTTGGTAATTTAGATCAATTTACTAAAATAGATTCGAAAGATGTTTTACTCAGGTTAGTTTGTACCCTGTACTTACTTATCAGTTCTCATGTTTCCCATTTGCTAAAATTTATCTGTCTGTATGGTTAGTAGTAGTAGCCTTTAAAGTAAGACTCAAATCTGAGTTTTACGCGTCTTTACATCAAGGAGTTCGTTTAATAGGTTTCAATCAACATTTAAAAATGAAGTCTAATATTCCTTTTAAACCTGTAAACAATTATCTGTGAACAATAAAGTTTACCACTTATTATTGATATTATTATTATTGTTTCGAGTGATTCAACAGTAACGTTCGAAACTAAAGGATTTGGTAGCGTAAATTCTCATCTCACAGAACTATGACACTATTCATGAGTTCTTATCATCTCAAACCTGATTCTGACTGGATGCCTTATTTATTGATGAAGCTAATTAATAATCCATATAAGACCTACATAGAAATAAAATTTCACAACTGTGTTATTTTCAAACGTTTTTTTTGCATAACTCATATAATAATGTATCAAAGATAATAGTTCTGCACTAAACATTTAAACGACTTTTGCGTACCTGTGAGTTGTTGGATTCATTTTCAATGAAAAGAACAGAACAAACACTATTTACGTATCACATTTTGTAAGGTGGTGGTTATAAGTAGTCGACAGGTAATCCTGCAGCAAGGTGTACTTGTAATCTTGAGGAAACTGACGCTCCCTGTAGGAGGTTTTCAACTGTGGTATAGTATTGGTCGGTTCATGATTTCGATTATACTTAACAATCTTCACACTGCCATATGTCTGTAACTCCTCATCTTCTCCATATGCGTGTATTGTGTTTGAAAAAATCATCTTTATGATTGTACTGGTCAAAGATTATGAAACTGATCACAGAGTTTACATTAAGATCGAATCTCGAAGTAATAATCTTTTCCATGAGTAACCAGACCAGATTTGACCTGAATAATTAAAATTATTGGCTTGAACTGATCTATACAGAATTTCTGGCTGGTGTCCACAAGATTACTGTTAGAGACTCTAGGTAACAGCTTAAAATTAATCATAGTAAAAGTGTATGTGTTTACTGCAAACATTATTTTTTACATTTTAATCGTCCTTTCACAACAATGTTCTCTGTGTCTAATGTCTGTCACCATTAACATCAATATAGTTTACGTCTTGTTAACTTCCCCTGGTTATATTTATATTAATTGTGGCATGTATGGTCAATAGATATTTGTATCCGATTGTACATCGTTTGAATGGAAAACTCATTATCATAAATATGTCAACGGTCGAAATCCTAATTTCCGCACATCCCCTATACTCATAACAATCATTTGCTCACTAGTGATTGACTTCAATATGTAATCCCTGGAGTTCTAGCAAGTAGCCGTGACTAGTGGAGTTCAATCCGTGTCGAGTATGAGAAAGTTATCCACCACGGGCAATAGATGATGGGTTACATAAGGTCGTGGATTAATTTGAGTCACGCATTAATACCGTTTGATGCCGGCTCAGTGGTCTAGAGGTTAGGTGTTCTAGTGCGATGTTGAAGGTTGTGGGTTTGATTCCTGCGTGCAAGTTTGGGGATGTTCACTTCTGGTGAGTCCCATACTAAAACAAAACGGCTGTTCAGTGTTTCCAGTTCTTTGCTGGCGGTTTGAGATTAAATCGTAATTTCAACGGTGAAAATATGTATTATACTTCAAAAGTATAAAATTGCATCCATCTTGTTAAATTAAATTAACTTCCATTCATACACGTAGTTAGAAAAACTACAACTTCTAGTTCTAGTCAATCCGTTATTGATATTCTTGTATTGAAATTTTAAAGAAATGTCTCGTTAAAAATTACTTTCAACAGTTGTCATTCATCACTGATATATATATGATTATTTACATTTTGGAATCCCATTTTATTTTGTTTGTCTTTTCCAGACGAAATAATAGTGTTTGTGGATCAACTATAAAAACTGGATTGAACAGTAATAATCATAACAATAATAATTTGATAACAAGTAATGTAATTGAGAGTAGTAATTCAACGCCAAGTGTTGTACAAGTGTTCAAAGCAGACGATATTGTTACTAATCATCCTATCACTACCGGTGATGGATCATACGACAATAGCAAAACTGATTTAATCATAAAACATAAAGAATCCCCATCAAGATCATTAGATTTAGTGAGTTTTCGACGTTTCACGTCAACAACTATACCAGATAGTAGTAGTAATGATAATAATAATGGGAAAAAACATACAAGTACTAGTAATGGTACAACTAGTGTTAATCCAAGTGAAAATAATCGTAATTCATTCATCCAGGAATCTGATATTTCAACAACCACTTCTACTGCTACTACTGCTGTTAATGACAATTTGTTATCGATTAATGCCACACAAGATCATCATTCGAATACAACAACTAATTTTCATAGTAGTATTCATCAAGTTTGGCAGGATCCATTACAAGAATTAGCTAGATTAACTGGAGCTGGTTCAAAACGTAATGCTTTATTACGTTGGTGTCAGTCACGTGTATTAGGTTATCGTGGTGTAGAAGTAACAAATTTCTCTAGTTCATGGAATAATGGTTTAGCATTTTGTGCTTTATTACATACATATGTTCCATCAAAAATTCCATGGAATGATTTAATTACATCTAATGGTTTACCTATTGATAAACGACGTTGTTTTGAAGTAAGTTTTTGTTGTATTATAGTTCTTTTTAGTATTATAGATTTATAATGAAGATTATCGTTGACAAATGATACTGATGAATGTGTAGCATGATTATGAGGTTATTTTTGAATGATGTAAGCTTTCTGTTTAGATTTTTCTGAATAATAGAAATAATTGTTAATCCATATCAAATTGTGTAATGATTAAAACAATTAAATTTCAACCAATCAGTTATCAGTTCATATTCTGCTTCATGTATTTCAGTTTGAACTATCGGGTAATATTATTGACTCTTACACAAATAGTATGACCCAAAGTCTAGTTCACAACCTAACCTCTTGTATACGTGATAAATAAATTACAAATACAATGACACATTCATTTGTTTACTTCGGCATGTTACTGTTATAATACTACATTAGCGAGTGACCTTTTCAAGCTTATTGACAAATAATAATCATGTCGTCAGTCAATGAGTTACAATTTTTTCTTAGATGTCACTTTTGGTGAATTCCAAAAGCTTTATTTATCTAATCAGTTGATATTCTTCTTATATCTTAACTAATCGGAGAAACTTTCTGATGTTTCTACAAATTAGATTTATAACTTAGATTGATCTTTTACAAATTAGTTTCGTTAAAATATAATGTACGCGGAATAAATAACAGCTGTCTTATGATAAACAAATTTTTTTGTTATATCCCGATGAGTAGAAAAATTGTATTTCTGACGTTTCGTGACTTAATGCAAGCCACTTCTTCAAAGGAAATAAATTTAGTTCGGACCTTTAGGTCTTATGGCTTTTTTGAGGGCTGATCTCAAGCCATGACCAGTAGAGTTAAACCATATCCAGTGTAAAGTAGTTACCCACTAGTGATATTGCAATATGATTATTATTTATTTATTTATTTGAACACATAAATATTGGTACAAGAGAGCGCCAATATATATGCGCCACACAAAACAATGGGAATTCGAAGAGAAGTAGAAAGAGAAAGAAAAAAAAACTAAGGAACGCAAAAGAAAAAGAGAACAATGACGAAGAGATTGGAGTAAGGTAGTGTGGTAGTAACGACGGAACGAAAAGGTACAATCAGAAGAAATCTTTCAGGTAAAGGAGACACAACCACTTTTTATGAAGAAAGTAAAAAAAGGTTACAGCAGGATCGCCACTGGCTTCTATTCTGAGCCATATCTGATAACGTCTCTAGCCACTGTGTAGCACCATCTCTCGGACCCCAACCAGGGAGTCGTGAAGGACCAACACAAGCCAGTCCTTTGCAGCTTTCTTTCATGCCACGACACCATGTCATGCACTGACCACTTCTCCGCTTCTTCCAACCAGTCCCAGGGTCGGCAAATAATGCACGACGTGGAATTCTCTGGGACGACATTCGGAGAACATGTCCAAGCCACCGAAGTCGATGTTTCAAGATGGTGACACCAATTGAGTTATCATCTCTGTGCCCGAACACACGATGCCGAACCTCTGCATTACTGACATGGTGTTGCCACTGAATGTCAGCAATCCTTCGGAGACAGCGATGATCGAACACAGAGAGTCGTCTAACGTCCTCAACTCGGAGAGGCCAGGTTTCACAAGCATAGAGCAAAACTGCTCTTACCGACGCGTTGTAGATCCGACCTTTTACAGCCAGACTAACATCACGAAGGCGCCAAAGGTGGCCCAGATTGGCATAAGCCGCTCTGGCTTTCACTATTCGTGCATTGATCTCATCACTCACACCCCCACCAGCACTTATGCAGCTACCCAGATACCCGAACTTCTCAACTACGTCTATCTGCTCACCGTCCAGGGTGAGTACAGGATTAGAATCCTGCCAGTCTTGTAGAAGTACTTTGCACTTCGAAGGTGCAAAGCACATACCATACCTACGGACACTGATTACCAACTGATTAAGTGCGGATTGCATGCCTTGGGCATTATCGCACAGTAAGACAATATCGTCCGCATACTCAAGGTCGAGAAGTCTTTCTCCAGGCAACAGATCCACACCACCATTACTTACATTCATCAGAGCTGTTTCCAGAATGTCATCGATGGCAAAGTTGAAGAGGAATGGTGAGATTGGGCAACCCTGCCTAACCCCACTGCTCGAATGGGACAATGGAGAGAGGTGGTTGTATGCCCTCACTCTGCCTGAGGTGTTTGTATATAGGGCTTTTAGGATGTTAATAAACTTCTCAGACACACCCTTCTTCAATAGACAATCCCAGAGGACAGTCCTGTCCAACGAATCGAAGGCAGCCCTGATGTCAAGAAACACTACGATTGTTGGCCTTTGAAAAGTATGGCGGTGTTCTAACATTTGGCGGAGGGTGAAGATATGATCAATACATCCTCGACCAGAACGAAACCCAGCCTGCTCCTCGCGAGTCAATCTTTCTCGGGTTTTGAACAACCTACGAAGAATGACGGAAGCCAATAGCTTGGACGCAATCGGAAGTAAACTTATCCCCCGATAGTTGTTACAAGAACGACGTGAACCCTTTTTTTAAAGATAGGGACAACTATCGACTCATTCCATGACGTTGGTACACTCTCTAGTTCCCAAACCTTTGTAAACAACGTCGTCAATTCCTTAGTCAAAAAGTCACCACCATCTTTAAAAAGAGCCGGAGGTAAGTCATCTGGGCCAGGTGATTTGTAACGCTTCAAGAGTTGGAGTTCCTTGCGGACTTCCTCCTCATTTGGTGGATCAGTCGTCACCGGCCATGGAGGGCAGGACAGTCTGACCGATGTTGCCGGAGCAGCAGGCCAGTTGAACTGCCCTTCGAAAAATTCTGCCCATCGTCCAAGACGTCGATGGATGTTAGTGATTGGCAGAGCTGGAAGAGCTTCCGGTAGTTACCAGATGCAGCTGCTTCCAGCTCATTAGCACGCATCGACCACCAGGCTTCTCGGTCCTTACGCAAGCTTTGCCCAATTTCCTTACGTAACATCCTTCGTTTATGGTCAAACTCACGGTCACCCGGAGTAGACCGACGGGCTTCAATGAGTTGTAAGGAACCAGAAGAAACCCAGTGCTTAAAAGCGGGACGTTTCGCAAACCCACAACTGACTGTTCCCGCCATTTTCATGGCGTCACGCAATTGCAACCAATGCTCATCTATACTTTTCGGTGGAGTGGTAGCTAGCCTAGAGGCTAGCTCGGTTCGATACTTACTTGCAACAGAAGTTGCAACCAGCTTGCTAACATCAATCCGTTGATGGCGTTCACTTCGTTGTCCACTGAAAAGTAAGGCAAGATTGGCGCAGACCAAGGCATGGTCAGAGTCCAGATAGGTACTCCAAAAGGAGCGGCAATCTTGTACACAACCACGCCAGGGGTAGCTGATCGCGATGTGATCAATCTGAGTCCAGGCTTGAGATGCAGAGGGAGGACGCCAGGTGGCACATCGGCGATGACTGTGTCGAAAGTTAGTGCTAGCCAGAAACAGGTTGTGGTCTGTGCACAGTTGCAGTAGACGGTCCCCGTTATCTGACCTGCGACCAACGAGTCCCCATCGGCCACCTAAACGACTCTCTTCTGTGCCTAGACGCCCGACCTGAGCATTCAAGTCTCCGGCTAGTACTACAATATCTGTCGAACGCACTTTCTGGAGAAGAACTGATAACTGGTGGTAAAACTCATCCTTGATTGCATCCGGGCTGCAATCTGTCGGGGCATAGGCGGAGATGACGAAAAGACATCGTTTCTCACGCCGATTTCTTCTCACTTAGATGGAACTTTCTAATCTAACAGCACATAACCGACTGTTAATGGGGATCCAATCGACTAGTGCTGCCTCAGCTCTAGCGCTTAGTGCGACACCAACGCCAGCAAGACCAGACGAAGATGCCACAGGGTCCCCGGATAAGCGCACGTAAAACAAGCTTTTCGAAGCGACAGATGGAGATCGAATTTGTAGTACTTCGCCAGAGTCTTGAATACGGGTCTCGGATAGACAACACACGTCGATATTAAGACTTTCCAAAGACATAGCCAGCCCTATCTGTTGTCCGACCTGCATAAATGTGCGAACGTTGAAGGCAGCCAGTTTGAATGGTGCACGTGGTTTCAGAAAATCTGCTTCAGTCCTCGTATTCGGTGGTAACATACAATTTTCAACCGGACAGTGACTCGAGAACGTTTAGATACAGTCGGATTTCCACCAAAGACGAGCCGCTGTATAGGTATAAAAGAGGGTGAATAATGTGGAAAATAATAATAATAATGATAATAATAACAATAATGACAATAATAGTAGTAATAATAATATTAGTATTAATAATGACAATAATTGTAATGATAATAATCTGAATCAATTGTTTGTTTTTCAAAGCGAGAAAGGTAATTTCCATAGGCATAAAGAGTTCATCAATTTGTGTGTGGGCTGTGATACTGCCCGGGTGCCGAAACCGAAGCAGGTGGTTATCTTAGGGGGCCACTCCCCGAGCCTTTGACCTAAAGGTCTAACCCACAAGGCAGTGGAGCATCGTAAGGAGATGCAGTCCCATGGTAGCCGGTGACCAACGATTGGTTCATACGCCATTCGTTCCCGCAGGATACTGGAGCCCATGTGCACCATTGATTTGGAATCCGGTTAAAGCGCCGGACATTCGCTTTTCGTCCTCTCATTTTCGTAGACAACACCCCCGCCACGAGAAGGCAATGAGTAGGACTTCCCTGGCAGAGGCTGTATACGCGTGGCCGTGTGAGAGTATTTCGAGAGGGAGAGCGGACTCTCCCCACTCTCGGCCGTACCAGGGCATTCAGGGGGGCGGTTTTATGATTCCATAATATTTCGAATCGATTAAAGTTATAAGTTTAAACCATTGAATATTACCTCAGTGGTATAAGTATTAAGCACTCACGGTGAGACTTGAAGATCCTGAGTTTAAATCTCAATGATGTCATAAATACTTTTAGCTGATACATTTCAAACTACGGAGTAATATCTAACTAAACTAATGCATACATATGATTAATTAGTAATCGTAATGACAATTCTGTTCGTCGTTTCCTAGTTTTTATTATCTTTTGTTAATGTCAAAAGTTAAAATATTAATTTATTGTCTGGTTTTTAATAGCAGTCCATTTTTTGTTTTCTTTAAATGTCATTCTTTCTTATTCCTTTTTGTGTACAGATTGCTTTTAAAGTTGCCGAAGATGAAGGTATTCCAACTACACTAAAATTACAAGATATGCTTACAACAGAACGACCTGATTGGAATTCTGTAATGACTTACATCATTTCAGTATATCGACATTATGAAGTAGAAGCGTTGAATCCATCAACAACTACTGGCAGTATTGATTGATGATGGAAGTAGCGGTATTGTCAATGTAGATTCTGGATAAGGGTCTAATGTTTTTACTTGAATTTCTTATCTTTTTTTCGCTCTTTTCTCCAGTTGTGAATGTACAATACAATACATGCTTACATATACGTACATACATGCATACGTATATCTTGTGAACTTTTAATGTGGTAAAACTACGGATACGTTTTTTGCTATCTTTATTCTCTTTTTTTTAAAAAAATGAAAAAAAAAACTACGAAAACAGTCTGTAATACGCACAGTTTATGTATATAAGTGCAAATGACCTTGTCTTCCTTTTGTTCGTCTGTTTGAAGTGGTTTTCCATATAATCTGGGACAATATACACATTTATATAGCACAACCCAATCTTCTCCAGTGCATTCTATGCATATATATGTAGATAAATATTTTGAAAAAAATAGTTCCCTGTTGGTCTTTATGTGTTCTTTATTCTACATTTTAATTTGGTTTTAACAATAAATATATTTTCCTATTCTAAAGAACACTTTTTTTTCTTCATAAAAATGACATTTTCACTGTTCATATGTTAAAATATAGCATAAATAACGGGTATGAAGTTATTTGATGAACACTGAATAGTTTCAGTAATGACTATGGTAGTTATCTGTAGTTTCACATATATTCTAAGTGATTATGTCAACTGAACTGAAGGTTAGTAAAATCCAGAA